CTTAGGACCCAATTCCATTACTTTCTCTGTTAGGCTTTGCTGTCTCCCATGCTTAAATAACTGTACTGTTTGTGGTTCTTCTTTCTTTTTATTATATTTAAAAATTTTGACTGTGCTGGGTCTTCATTGTGGTGCTCGGGCATTCTCTAGCTGCAGGGCATGGGCTCTAGAGTGGGAGGGCTCAGTAGCTGCCGTGAAAGGGTAAGTTGCCCCGTGGCACGTGGCATCTTAGTTCCTGGACAGGGGATTGAACCTGGGTCCTCTGCATTAGAAGGCAGATTCTTAACCACAGAACCACCAGGGACAACCCTGCTGTTCTTCTGTAGTACATTGCTCATGCTCCATTTATTGTATTGTTTAGTCACTAAGTCATGTCTGACTATTCGCAACCCCATTGACTGTAGCCCGCTAGGCTCCTCTGTCCATGGGATTTCCCAGGTAAGAATACTGGAGTGGGTTGACATTTCCTTCTCCAGGGGATCTTCCCAACCCAGGGATCAGAGCTGCATCTCCTGCATTGGCAGGCGGATATTTTACCATTAAGCCACCAGGGAAGCCCCTCCATTTATTGCATTATACCTAATTGGACATGTATCAAACACTGTCTCCTTGCTCGTGATCTTCTTGGTTTGTACATTTCCTTTCCCCATATCCTTTGGGCTGTGTCTTATGTATTCTAGAAAGCTGTCACAGAGAATGTGCCTGACACATTGTAAATGCTCGATGGATGTCTGTAGCTTGGAATTTAAAAAGTACATGCGTTTCTTACATTTCCATGTAAAAATAGTTATTTTAAGCAATGAGGGCTAAACTGAAAATACTAAGGATTGGTAGAAGGTAGAAAAGCTGTCTCTTAATCTGTGGTTTTCTGTCCTGATAAAAGAGAAGTCTTTAGAGGTAGACTGCTCTGGGAAAACTCTGTGAGTTGTTTAGCTCCTCAAATTAAAACAAATATACGTATATTACTCTTGGAAAACTATAAAGTAACCATTACCCTGATTGTAGATGTTTTACACTGAAAAGCAGTGCTCCATTTGGATATGCACGTCTTTGGGTGTGGGGAAGGAGCCTGCTTCCCCAGACACCAATGCAGACAACAACAGAACTGTTTCTTCCCTCTGTTGACTTAGACCATATATGTGTCAATATGGGTTTCCCTGATAGCTCAGTTGGTAAAGAATCCGTCTGCAATGCAGAAGACCCCTGTTCAATTCCTGGGTCAGGAAGATCCCCTGGAGAAGGGAAAGGCTACCCACTCCAGTATACTGGCCTGGAGAATTCCATGGACTGTATAGTCCATGGGGTCGCAAAGAGACGGACAAGACTGAGCGACTTTAACTCTCTCACTCATATGTCAATATATTGTTGCTTCTATAGAGATATGGATATCCTTGCTTGAGCCCACGATCTAGGGGAACAGAAGCTGAGGTCTAAAGGATACATTAAAGCAAAGACAGGCATGACCCCTACCGCTTTCTGGAGAAACAATTATGCATGGTACCAAACTGGCTTTGGTGAGACTCTACCTACAAAGACTAAGTCAATCTTTGTGAGAAATGCACTGTTGTTGGACTGCTGTGTTCTAAGGTGATAGCCTAGTTGGGTCAGAGGTCAAGGTCACAGTCCTGGGTCTGGAGGATGGGGTTTCCTCTGAAAGAGCAGATATTCCCATGGTCTGTCATCCAAGGGAGACACTATACCTGGGACAAAAAATCAGCCTTTGAAAGTGGACCTTAAACTGGGTGAAGAGAGTTGTTTTCTTCTTTGAGCTTTACAGTGGTTGGGCCTGGATGCTCCAGACATGGCTAAGGGAACTCTTGATTGAGAGGGGAGCTGCACAGACCCAGACATATGGACCCAGGCTGGAAACTCAACAGTAAGGCAGGCCTGATCTAGTCCACAGGGCTCTGAGAGCAGCCATGTCATACCTGTGTTAGTGATGTCCTGGTGAAGAGAGGGTGGTACCCCTTCCTGCCAAATCCCAAGGCAACACTGAAGATGGCATTGGCTGGAGAGAGCTCAGTGTCCCAGAATGCCAGGGTGTGGGACATCTGAAGCAGAGGCAAGAATAGTTCAGTTATTTCAGGAATATGTGGGTGACAGCACCTCTCCTACAGACTCCTCTGCAGTAGAGAAGGGAGGGAAACTCCAAAGGGGGTGGGCTGACATCCTGGTAATTTGAAAGGTGGGAACTCAGAGCTATTGTAGCTGGGGATATTTTTGAGGGGAATTTTATTTTAAATATGACTTCCTTTATAGTCGAAAATTCATGAACACTATGATACTCTGACTTTCAAGGGCATACAAGGCCTTTTATTGAGTAAACCCTTTCCATTCTGGGTATCCTGCTCACTAGGCTTGAGAAATACAAAGGAAAATAAAGTATTCCTCTATTTGATTTTACACAAGCGCTTTCTTTTTTTGTTCCTCTTAGGCTTCGGTACTTGAGCCTTTTTGTACAGGCATAGGAGAAACCAGAAACTAACTGATGGACTCTCGCTTTTCTTCTATTATTTTTCCATCCTCTGTTTTCTTCACAAAATGTTCTGTATCAGAGAGTAAGGGAGGGTTTTAAGTTCTTTCTGGGTATTATGCATTAGCATGATGAGTATCTGACTGGTCTTTCAATGAGGTGAGCTGACATGATTTTCTTAAGTTAGGCAGGAATGTTACTTAATGCACTGGCATAGCAGCCACAGTCTCATCCCTGTCGATTGTATTTACGGTCATACTTTGAAAAAATACTGCATTCAGCTCTGTAGAGCTATCCTGGATTCATGGTGCTTTGTCTTTTTATTCTAACAGCTGCTTATTTGCATAGCCTGTTAAAGATGCTTTCCTGTCATCACACTACTGGTCTTCCTCTAGCTTTTTGGACATTTTTTCTTGCTTGTGTAGATTTTACATCAAATATAAACTTTCCCTTCAATAAAAGTTTGCCCGTCTGAAGACTTTCGTCATCCTCTCCCAACTACACAACAAAGTTGAACTTTATAGAATATCACTTTGATGCATTAACAATTGCACTTGTCTCTAAGACCTTTCTGAAATTCTCTTAGTTTCTTCTCTTGGGGTTTAGATGCAGTAAAATATCTATCAATTCCATTTACTTAATTTAAAAACCATTTATTGAGTATTAATATTATGCTGCAGGGCTAGGTTATCTGCTGGAGCTACAAAATAGAAGAGCTCACACCTGGTTTTATGGATAGACCACTTGGCTTACTGGTTCTAGTTTCTAAAATAATGCTTCCAGAGTTGCACTGTGAACCTCCTCTTACAGCACCTAAATGCCATTAGGGAGAATGCTACTAATGAGGAGAGCAATCCAAGATATAAAGGAGGACAGGGTGGGTCAGATGCAAAAAATAAAGGGGGGGGAGGGGGAATCAATCCTGGAATACAAAGATACTAGAGAACCCAAAGAAACGTACAGATGGCCAACAGATACATGAGAAGATGCTCAACATTGCTAATCATCAGGGAAATGCAAGTCAAAACCACAATGAGATGTCATATCACACCTGTCAGAGTGGCTGTTATCAAAAAAGAACAAATAACAAGTGTTGGGGAGACTGTGGAAAAAAAGGAACATTCATACACTATTGGTTGTAATATAAACTGGTGTGGCACTACGGAAAATGTATGGAGTTTCCTCAAAATAATTAAAAACAGAACTATATGATCCAAATAAAATAAACGATACTAGAGAAGAAGTATATTTTAATGGTTGAACATTTTTCTGGGTTAATGTAGGATTTTATTATTGTTATGCTATACCTGCAAACAATAGCATAATTGAAAATAACAGGAAATTATTGTATTTCATTATTTTTCAATTAATATATTTATAAATGTTCTTTGTTGCTTTGATCCTTTTGCAACATTTCCTCCCAAAATCTTTTGGGAGAATACTGTCTCAGTGAAATTTTTGTAAAGAACATGAAGTCTTTAGATATGAGGTCAGAGAAGGCAGGAGATTATTTTTTTCCTTTGTGATGTGTACCTCCTTACATACTCTGCTGTTTTGTTGAGGAAGTACGAAAACATGATAATTCTAGTCCTAAAGGTGTAGATAAAGGATCCATCGTTTCCTCTGCATTATATCGGCTGAAGGACCACGTCTCAGTCTCTTCCTTTTGTCTAGCGAAAATAAAAGGAGGAGGCAAACGGTGTTTGAGTGGAGGGTTTCTAGGGGTTAAACCCTGGTGCTTTAGCCCCTCCGCGAACCCTGCGGCTTTTACTTAAGTAGCCCCTGTAAAACAGATGTTCTCCAAAATAAGAGGAGTGGAGCAGAGAAGACCGTCCGGCTGTCGTGGGGTTCAGCAGCGCAGGTGGGGGCAGCCGCCTGGTCCAGAGCCGAAGGTGCCTGCATTCTGCAGGTGCAGGGACTGTGAGCTCTCAGCGCTCAGGCACCAGAGAGGCGGGAACCGCGGCGTTGCAGAGCGTGCGACTTGGGCCCTGAAGACGAGGCCAAATATATTCCAAACAGCTGACATTGATCAAGCCGATTGCCCGCACCTGGCCCGGGGGAGGGAAAAACAGCATCTATCCGAACCGCAGAGAGAAAAGGAGCTCCTGGTTTAGGACGCCAGAGGGCGGGTCTGACTTTTCGGTCCAACTGCTTTGCCGCGATTGCGTCCCTGACCTGTCTATCATCGCAGTTTCTGTTTCTATTGGCTCTTCCGTCTGTCACTCGGTTCCGCCGCGCTGACCCCCATTGGCCTCCCTCCGGCCGAGTCCCCGCCCCACAAGCAGGACACGGGCAGTGGGGCGCGGAGCAGAGCGAGTCCGGCGCTTGCTCCGGGCTGGGGGAAGGCGGTGGCGGAGAAGGAGGAGGAGAAGGAGGAGGAGCCGGGCGGGCAGGAGGCAGCGGCGGCGATCGCGCTGGGGTGATGGTGCAGGTGCTTGGGGCCGGCGCGGAGCTGCCCGGCTGAGGGGCGCCTGGTGCGGGGTCCGCAGCGCCGCCGCGCCTCTCCCGGAGGCGGGCGGGCGGGAAGATGCTGAGCAGGTTGATGAGCGGCAGCAGCAGGAGCCTGGAGCGCGAGTACAGCTGCACAGTGCGGCTGCTGGACGACAGCGAGTACACCTGCACCATCCAGGTCAGCGCCGCGCCGCCCGCGCCGCCCGCGGGGGCCCCTCTCTCCCCGGGTCTAGCCGGCTTGGCCCGCGGCCGCCTCCCGGGGATCGCCCCAGACCCCGGCGCTTTGTCCGCCGCTGGCTGCGGCGGATGGCCCCGCCGGTGCAGGGCGCCTGAGCCCGGGTCCGGGGTTGGGTGCCCGGAGCTCGGCGCCGCTGCGGCGCGAGTCCAGGTGTCCTGGACGCCCCCAGCTCGTCCCCTGCGCTCTCCCGAGGTGAGGGCGCCCATCCTGGCGCTTCGAACCCGCCGATGGGGTGAGCACCTTCCGCGGGCGTCCGGAGGGGGGCGGAGAGGGCGGGAGGCTCTTTCCCCGGCCGCCCCGTCGGGGGACGGGGCGGGGGGAGCGGTGCAGGCTTTGGCTTTCTGGCCGGGCAAGGACGGCGGGCGGCTTTTCTCCTATTTCTTTGACTGGAAGGATGATGGTGTATGTCATAATCTCCCCCCCAGCATTTGTGAGTCAGAGCTCTCCGAAGGTAGAATTGAACGCGTAGCCCATACAGAGTGGCCTGTTGAAGGGAACCCAGCCCCTTGGGCTTTAAAGATTTAACCAACCCCCCTATCTCCCCGGCTTTTCGCTCCCCAAATCTTATTCAGCTGGGCAATTCTGGGGGGCGCGAGATAAAGATTTAGCAACAAGTCCCAGCGATTTGAGGGTTGCCATTGGCGAGAATCGGTGACTTACAAAAAAAAAAAAAAAAAAAAACACGCCAACAATACGGTAATGCTGCACGGCATTCTTCGTAACCTGGTGTTTTTGAAGGGATTTTTACAACCTCCTGCTGGGTGGCACGTCAGGAGTAGTAGTCTTGCCCAGGAATGCAGTCGCAGCCCTCTCTCCTCCTTTATAAAGTCAGGAACAGAAACCGCTGACAATGCTCCGGCGCGCAGTTCTCAGTCGAGAGGGTCCTGTCTCACCTGCCCCAAACTGCTCTTTCTGGAGAAGCAGATTGAGCTGGACCCGGAGGGTCTCACCTGATCCCTCGCCTCTGCAGCAAAAGCCCGAGAGGGCTTCTCATCTCAGATGTGGCAGGCAAGAACTGTCTGCCCGGGTCCCACTCTCTTTGTCTCCCTCCCCGCCTCCCCCCAACCCCCATTAATTATTTTTTTTTTTTTGCTGACAATGCTCAATAGCGGAAAATAGCGGTGTGTGAGAAAGACGCTGGATAGTATATGAGAGCAGCTGCTGTCTGCTGACTCCGTGCTCAGTTCTGCCTTCTCTCCACTTTCCTTTTTCTCCCACCTCCAAAACCCAGCTCTGGGCATAAGTGCTGACCTCTGCCAAAGATTTATGAGGGTAGGGAAGGAGAACAAAATCTCTTTTTCAGGCCCCTTAAATACAGATTAAGCAGTCATAAAGATGCTAGCCATAAAGTGAAAGGATTTTTGTAGTAGAATATGATAGAGAGATGTTGTGTATTATATCCTTACTGAATGAGTGACATGCTACTTTTTGTTTCTATTGTATCTTTATGTGTCATGTACAAGTGTTTTGTTTTTGGTGGGAGTGGGGGGAACCAGAGAAAACATAGATTGAGTTGACATGTTTACTATTTGAATACATTGTGTAGAGGTTTTAAAATCTTTATTTTAAAATTTAAAGCATTTACACAATAGCATATCAAGGGCAGTGTGAGATTTAGATTTTATGAGTTTAAAAATACTTTTGGGATATATGGTGAGATAAATTTCTGGGGCAGATTATTAACTTTTGCCGAGACAGAAAGTACAAATAAAACACCTCTCCATTTAGTGATAACCTTGTGGTTTTAAGGTATCACAACAAGGCAACTAGTTATTTTTCCCAGTTAGTGGAAACCCAGTTGGCAGATTGGTATTATACTTGTGGGTAGTTTTTATTACTATTGAGGAAAATATTTTTAAGTTGAGCAGGAGTTATTGGTTTTATGCTTTCTGTGTGCTACTGTGGTTGTGTTTATTTTCCTGCTGGTTTTAATTTTACATTGTTACAATTTAATATGTTATAAAAATTTAGGCTGCTTAAAAATTAAGCCTGGTGTAATATGCCCATACTGTCATAAGTGTTCACTATCTAGATGTGTCAATGATTGTGCATTGTTTCTTTTATGAAAATTTAAAAACACAGGAATTCTAAAGTATATGTATTATTGTCATTCTTTGGTGCTACTACTGTGAATTGCTTTTGTTTTTACCCATGTGAGGAAATGTGGATGAGAAAGTATTTTATGTGAAATTAATATTTTGAGCATATACCTTTTTTGAGCATTTAGAGATTGAGCTTTTCTTAGCAACTTTTCCCCCTTGTATATTTCTAGTATGTGTGTGTGAGAGAGAGAGAGAGCACACACATGTACTTATTTGTCAAATACTGGGCACAGGGTCTTTTTTTTTTTAATCAGTGTGCATCACTTATTAAATTAAAGCAATATTTACATCATTTAGGAATTAGAGTACCATATATTATATTAAAAAATTGGTGATAGTTTAAAATCCTTTTCCTAAAAGTCTTATATGTCCGTGTTTTTCTTGAAAATAAGGTATCTAAATTTCAGTACATCTTGAGGTGATCAGAGACCACATAGGGTATTATAGAACCAGAAGTGTATTATTGGCTTAGAGTGTTAGTTACATTTGGTAAATTTCAGTTTGTAGGAAATTCTGTCAAAGTGTTGGTCTAGCCTTTTGTACTGCAGCAGTTATACTGATCTGGCATTTATGATGTGATTATTAAGGTAATAAAAATTCCTTATAGCCTCTCAATGAAGGTTGCCACAGTTACCAGCCTGTTCTTTTATTCTTTCTGATATGCAAGTATATTTGTGGACCATGAGAAATGAAAGTATTCATAGAAGGGTTGTAGTATAATTGCCTCCTTGTGAAGAACATTGTTAAGAGTTCCCTGCCAGTTTTGAAGGTCATTGCCTCATAAGTGCAAATCTGGTCCATATTTTTCACAAATCTCTTTCTCTTAATCACATATTTATTAAGTTACCACATTTACTACCTTACCTTATTACTTTATTTGGCAGAAAATAGGAAAAATGAAAAGGCTACCTAGTATTTTTGAACTCCCCAAATGGAGTCATTTAGGTGCTTAGGCATGTAATATCCTCAAGAATAGATTTTTAAACTATCTTTCAGGTTATAATAGTTTATAAAATATTAAGACTATTGCAGAAATGCCAGTAGAAGTATGTATCAAAAATATATATTGCCAAGTCAGAAATATTAATCACCTTTTTTGGTTATTGGTGAAAAGTAAAGCTACCCGAGAAATGAATCTGATTTTACTGGGAACATACTGAAATAACAACTGATTAAGCAGTTAGGTTAGATTAGTTTTTCCAGTTAAATAAGGTGCAACCATAAATGAAATGTACATGCAGAGGCAGTTCTAAAGTGGAACCAAGATGCAGATTTGATTGTGGCTCAGCCACTTAGTAACTGTGGGACCTGGAGTAAGGAAGGGAATATTGAGGGGGAGAACAAACATGTTGATTCTTGCACCTGCCAGGTACTTTGCCTGTATTATTATCTCATTTTCCTCACATCAGTGTTATGGATTGATTATAGACTCATTGTATCAGTTAAAGAAAATGGGATTGTGGATTGATGGGAGAGCCTGTATTTGTTGAATGGCTAACTGTGTACTAGTTTCCTGCCAGGTGCTTTGCTTCTGCCTTACATCAACCACTGAGAGGTAGGTGGTATTGTCCTTATTTTACAGATGAAAATCCCAGATGAAGGAACTTGCTCAAGCTAGTAGGTGACTGTGCTGTATTTAAACCCCGGTCCTTTTGCTTCGAAATCCCATCTTTGTTCCTTTTCTCCATTCTGACTCCTTAAGGCACTTCACCTGTCTGTACCTTAATTTCTTCATCTATAAAATGGAAATTTAATACTTACATCACAGCAAAGACAAAGTTACTTGGAAAATTACTACAAATAATAAAGAACACTTAAATAGCCTACTGTACTTACATTGTGCTTTAGTCTATTCAATTCAGAAATAGAACTGAGAAATGTTTTACTGTTTTAAAAAAATAAATGAACTTCAGCTGTAAGTGCTTTTAAAATGATTTATGATTAATTTCAATAAAATTGTAAAATCCTGTGCTGGCATAAATGAAATCTTTATTAGAACTCTTCTTTAAAATCAAGAGTTCAGGTTTGCTTTCCTTCTACTCTACAAGGTCTTTGGCTTTAGAGGGACGTTTATTGCTTGAACCATGGCTCGTCTTTTCTAAGAACTTCTTGGTAAGTGGAATCCTTGGTTTCATTGATGCAAAAGGGATGTTCTTAGAGAATTAGGGTAATTTTATTAACAGACAAAAACACAGAGCTGTTGTATTTTCATGAATATTGGTTTTTTAAAACTTTATTTTAAAAAGTAATTATGCAGTCTCAGGATCTCTGTTACAATAGCAAGTCAGTTAGAATCTAATTCTTAAAACTAAGTTCCAAAATTAGCTTCCTAGGATCCTAAAAGCACTTGTGTTCTGTTTCTTAATTAGTGCATTAAAACATTTATTGTATAAAAGTAATGCAAGTCAGTCTGTTTGATACAGAAGGTAAATTCTAGGCATGTATTTATGTTTTCATTCTTTTTGATTTTGAAGAAGTCCTGTTTAAGGAAGTGTCAGTGTTCATCCAAGAGGAACCTAGAAGCAATCACTACAGAAGATTTTACTCAAGGGTATTTGTATGAATTTGCATTTTGTTAAAAGCTTGGAATGAGTATGCTAGATGAGGCAATTCACTATAGTGTATAATAAAATATAATGTGGCTTTTGAGTCCTCTGTTACATTGTCCAGAGACAATGTATCACGTCTGTGATATTAATGTCATACTTTAAAAAAGGAAGTGTTTGCCAAAATAAAATCAGACAACCTGGGGCAAAAAAACAGTAGTTTTTTATGTTTGTAGTGATTTATGTAGAGGTCTTAAAATGTGTAACCCAAAACAAGAAGCATGACATTATT